GAAGCTGATATTGCAGGTCTGTGCCTTCAGGCTCAATGTGGGTGGTGCCATCACTGAGCAAGGGGTCTTGGGTTATAAGCGCTTTCCTCCCCAAAGCTGCTTTTGGCCGCAGTGTTTTATCACAGCCACAGAAACCATGCTAACTTCCTTCTCTCTTCTGAGAAGCAGCTGCTCCATCAAGGCACCATCTCCTACTGGAGAGGCCTCTAAAGCAGCAACGCTCCCCTTCTACCCCTTCTCACTTGTTTTGTAAGTAGAGGCACATCTGGAACAACAGGACAGGCAACAAGACAGGAGAGATATAGAAACAGGCACCACTCCAGAGAGATCCCTTGCTCTTTCCCCAGATGTCCTCTCCTCCCTCCATGCTGGCAGCAATACTAAGATATAAGAGGTTGCCCTTGGGAATTGGGAAGAGAGAACAGAGGAACTGTCTCAGATGCATCAGCTGAGCCAGGAATCACATTTACTGTTGTGCATTTTACTCCCAGGTGACTGAATGATCTCACAGGATTCTGGTTTCCATCCTGTATCCCAAATGCTCTTTAGTTTGAATAAACATATACATAAGGCTCTGCCAGCCAGGAGTTATATATCTGAGCAGCCAGAGCCACGGCACAGTTACTGATGAGTTATTGGCTCTTCTACATCTATCTGTTTGTAGGTGGGCTTGCAAAGTGTGTGCATGCTTCTTCTATAGGTTCTGACGGTGAGCCTCAGGCTGAGCGGCAATGCAAAGCTCTCTGGTGACTCTAATGTTGAGAACTCAGGTCTGTAGTACATGGTCTCTAGAAGGTGGGTGAGTCGCCTCCCTCCAACCCCCTTCATTTTCTTACCCTATAGCCCTAGTATCTAGCAGACAAAGACAAGCATCCTAAATAATCACATGAAACCAAAGACTGATGACATAAGACTGATGGCATGAAACACAATGAGTAAGAATCTCTGCCAGGCAAAACTTTAGGCTTGTAATAGTTTCTGTTTTACTTCTGTTACATTAGTTTTGGTTATTTGGACCCAGGCTCTCAGGTAACACAGGCTGCCCTCAAACTCTTTATGCAGCTGAGGATGACTTTGACTTCCTGATTCTCCCTCTCAAGTCTAGTTATTAGAGGCGTATATTGCTATGTTCCCACATGGTCTCTATAAGCTCAATGCCAGGCTTGAGGGCTCATAAAGAACCTGCCCTATCCATTGCTCTTCCTTTAGCATTCCCCTTACTTCTTAGTTTTCAATCTAAGATGGAAGGCAGAGATAAAAACTGGGTGTGTTTACAGAGACTATGGCTACTTTTGAATACCTAGAATCCCAAAATGAGAAAAGAGGAGATTCAGGGAGCCAGTAAGATGGCTCAGTGGGTAAAGGTGCTTCCCACTGACCCTGAAGACTCAAATTTAATGCTTACGGATCCACATAGTAGAAAGAGCCAGCTTCTTCAAGTTGTCCTCTAATACCCTTACAGTGCATACATGTGTGCATATACAAGCATGTGTGTGTACATGCACATACACACACATGCAAATACACAAACATACTCTTATATATATTACAGAGTCATATGCAAAATAAATAAATAAATACATACATACATAAAATAAATAAATACATAAATACATAAATAAATGTAAATAAAAGAGGCAATTCAATTAAGAGACAGGAAAACTTGTGGGGAAAAAGTGAGACCAGAGAATGAGACCAGAAAGAGGCAAGAGGATGTCACTACGCACTTTCCTGAAGATTTCTCAATGCTGCCACTTCATGGGTCTGTGAGCTTGTAGGTACCTACAGAGCCCCCACCCCTACTTCTTATCATTGGTGAAATCTTTCAAGTTCTAGAGTCCTCATGTTAAAATTACTGTCCCTGACCTTCGAAAACTAGATGTGGCCATGTGTATAACGTCTGTCCTGTGGGATGGTGCAGGAACTGCAGACAGTTTTGGGTAAATACATAAATGAGAATGGTTTACCAATGTTTCGTTTCCCTTCTCACTGGCTGATGGTGATGGTGATGGTGATGATGGTGATGGTGATGGTGATGGGGCTGAGAGTATCCTGACCATGTTAGTGGAGAAAACTAGCAGTGAAATGGTGAAGCAAGAGAATGACCAGGTCTAGGTTCACAGAAGACATCATGGGTTAGAGCTGTCTCATCCTCCTGGTCTCTTTAGAACCTCAGATGCTCACATGACAGGCAAAAGGAGGTCTGTCCCTGGTTCTTTTATAATTTTCATTTTGAGACAGGGTTATACTCAGGTTGGCCTTGAACTCACCTTGTATTTGAGGAAGGCCTTCAACTTGCAGCCTCTTGCTTCTCCCTCCTAATTTGCTAGGATTATAGGCCTGTGCCTCTGAGATAGCTCTTGTTTTTGAATCTAGTAAGGAAAAAATTAGCAAATAAAGAATCATGCCTGGTCTGGTATGGCCACAGAAGGAATAGTGTGACAAGTTTCCTGCCCATGGAGCAGGGCCAGCAGGATGTGAGTCTTCTTCCACGCTGATGGTTGCTGTGCATAAGGCTTGTTTGCATAATGATATAAATATTTTACTTTATGTTCCTCCTTCAGGGAATATTTTTTCCTGCCAAGGTTATTGGGGAATGTTCTCCCTGCCAAGGTCAGTGACCTCATGATAATCAGAAGCAGCATGATTCTGGGAAACAAGAATGTGTCTCTGGTGTTCCTCAGGTAGCATTGTAGCCTTCAGGACAGCCCTTAAGGCTGTTGGAAAGAACTCTGAAAATATGAGTTCAAGACTATATAAAAGAATGTAAGAACTATTCTTTACAGGTTTCTCAACTATGCAAAATATAAGGATGAATTGTATGAGGAGCTTCACAGACCTGAAAGAACAGAGGCAGCTGCACTAATGAGCCAGCTTAATCAGAAAAATATTAAAGAAGGAAGCATGATTTGGCCAGTAGAGGCAAAAACTTGGATTATGAAAGGGAAAAAGAATAATTTGGACTTTTAATCTGAAATGAACTACAATCTAGAAATATAAGATACAGGCTTTTGATCCAGATCTTGAGGAATAGTGGCCATGAAAAGCTTAGGCCCATGTATGGTAGAACACACCTTTAATCCGAGGAGACAAAAGCAAGCAGATTTCTAAATTCAAGGCCAGCCTGGGACAGAGCACGTTCTAGGTGAAAAACTGCTTGGGTCCAGGTGTGGTGTACAAGCCTTTAATCCCAGCATTCAGGAGACAGAGCCATGCAGATCTCTGAGTTTAAAGTCTGTCTACAGGGTAAGTTCCAGGACAGCCAAGCTTAGGCAGTGAAGGATTTGGAAAAAGAAAGCTGGTGATGATGTAATAGAACAAGGGGACCATGTTCCAGCTCCAGCAAGCAGCACAACTCTGGCAGTTTCAGCCATGCGGGTCTGTCTTTAGAGTCAAGGGGCTAAGGTCATAAAATGCCAATTCATTAATAATCAAAAGGGAACCTGGGTAAATGATCAAACTGATATCCAATTCCTAAGGAGGTAGCTTAATACAACTAAAAGACTGGGCTATGGTCTGCAAGAGAGAGCTATCTCTATCTCACGCAGAGAACACAGCTGTCAGCTTGCATTCATCATTGACTCTGAGTCATTCTTTTGCCATTCCCATTCACCCCTTCCCAAGAACCCTTTCTCAAGACAAGACTGGACCTTGGGAAGATCTAATATAAAATCAGGAAAAATAGCTGCCTAAAGCAAATGACACTGGGAAGTATTAAAAATCCTACTCTGTTGGACAATACCTTGTCTTCATTGTTCGACAGAATATGCTGTTCTTAGGGCTTAACTAAGAGATCTGCAGCCAACGATGCGATTTACTATGGTAGTCTGAATGAGAATGGAGCCCTATAGACTTATGTTGTTGAATGTTTGGTTCTTGTAGGTTGGAGGACTGTTTAAGAAGGAGTGGGGGTGTGGCCTTGTTGGAGGTGTGTCTTTGGGGATGAGCTTGATGGTTTCAAAACCCTGTGCCAGACTTCACTGCTTCAACCTACACCCCAGCACCATCTGCAGCTTGTGGATCAGATGCAAGCTCTCAGCTACTGCTCCAGCGCCATGCCTGCATGCCTACAGTCATGTTCTCTATCTCAATGATCATGGACACACCCTCTGAAACTGTAAACAAGTCCCCAATTGTTTGTGTCTCTTCACAGCAATGGGAACAAAACCAAGTCACCACTAAACCATCTCTCCAGCCTCCACTGTTTCTTTTTTAATAATTAGAATTTTTAAAAACACTTTTTGAGACAGGGTCTCACACTGTAGCTCAACCTGGCTTTGAGCTTTCAATCTTCCTGTCTTGTCCTCCTGAGTATTAGAGTTGCAGGCATGCACCATGGCTAGTCCTAAATTTCCCATTTTTATTCCATAATGATGTCAAATCAATAAGATAAGATCAGAGAATAAGCTTTGTTACTGACTTCCTCCCTACTCTATTTTCTTTCTATTTCCTACATAGATAATATTTTTAGATATTAAATACTTATTAAAATTATAAAATTCACAAGTTATCATCGTTGTTTTAGTATGATTTTTATATACACATAGAATAATGCTATAGTTATTATTTGTATGTATGTAACTTAATATAACATGTGGCCAGACATCGTACCATATGTCTATAGCTGTTTGTATTTCTTTCCCTGTTTTATAGAAATGATAACATAATAATTGTGTTATTGTGTAGCATTTCTTTTTCACCTTGTACATGATGGGGATAAGCCCTGTGGCTGCAAAACACTCTGCAGTTACACCCCAGTGTAGCCATTTGGGTTTTTCCCAGTGTTTTGCTATAGCACATAGCCCTGCTAGGTCAAGGGTAAGCATACCTGTAATCTTGCCAGACTTCTATATATCTCCCTCCAGTGGAATTGTATCCTGCTGGCAACAGAAGGGGGTCAAGAGAGTAACAAAGGCAGGGGTGTGTGTGTGTGTGTGTGTGTGTGTGGCCAGTAAGTATGTGAGTTTCGTCCATCATCTTTTTTCCTTTGTATGTACTCTGAGTGGTCCACATTTCCAGAAGTACTGAAGTACTAGAATTTCTGGAATCAGGGAATCAAGTTCTTATTCTATCTCCCAGCTGGAAAAAACCATCAAATACACTGTTCTCAGATAGAGGAACAGGAGATATCAAACTGATATAAATGGGTACTATACTTGATCATAGCCAGAAGGCTGATAAACAATTCAGTGATGATGATGATTAGACAAGGTCTCACTGTGTAGCCCATGAAGGCTTTGAACTCAGCATCTTCTGACCTCTGCCTCCTGTGTGCTGGGATTACAAGTGTATGTCACGCTGCATGCTTCAGTGTATTTTTAATTCACATTTTTACTATAAAGAGAAAGGTTGATAGGTTCTTTAGAATGATTACTCTACTTTCTGATAGACTGCCCCTTAGGCTAAGACCTCACTCTGGGAGAAAGGAAGAATTTCAGAGAGGTAAAGGTTAAAAGGGTATCAAGCAGATATCATTCACACAAGATGAAGATGGATCCAGCTAGTCCTAGTACACCCTCATTAAGTACAGATGAGATGTTATTGTTGTTAGAGTAGTATATATTGCAGTGATAAAGTACTATGACTGAGCGCAAAACATGGGAGAAAGGTTTATTTTGGGTTATGGTTCTAGGTGGTCTAACTTGGGGAACATGGCAGCAAGTGGATGCATGGCAACAGAAACAGGAAATCACATCTTCAGCCACCATCGAGAAACAGGAAGAGTAAGCTGGAAAAAAGGCTAGGCTATAAACTTTCAAGCCCGGCCTCGGTGATGATGAACTTCTTCCAGTAAGATCGCACCACCTCCCCACCGAATGATACAATCTGGTGACCCAGTGCTCAAACAACTTTCAGGGCAGACATTCTCATTCAAAGTACCCCAGCACCTAAAAACATTCTTCAAGGAAGAGCTAAAGAAGAAATAGAGGAAAGTTTGTAATATTAGATGCTTGCATTAGAATATCTAGACTACATAGCAGACTCTGAAAATCAGCAAGAAAAAGAAAGCAAAAGCATAAGGGAAAGATGTTGTCATAGGCTTTCACTGCTGTGAACAGACACCATGACCAACGCAACTCTTATAAGGACAACTGTAATTGGGGCTGGCTTAGAGGTTCAGAGGTTCAGTCCATTATCATCAAGGCAGGAGCATGGCAGCATCCAGGCAGGCATGGTGCAGAGGAGCTGAGAGTTCTGCATCTTCATCTGAAGGCCTACAAGAAGACTGGCTCCCACATGGCTAGGGGGAAGGTCTCATTGCCTACCCCTACAGTGACACACTCCCTTCAAAAAGGCCAAACTCCTAATAGTGCCACTCCCTGGGCCAACCATATTTAAACTACAACACATGGTTTTTACATAAGAAAAAATATCAAATGAGCCAAACAACCCAATTAAAAATGTTTGGAAAAATACTCTTTGATATATGATACATAATAACTGATGTTATTTCTCCACGGGTAAAATGAGCCAATTCAAGCCAGATTAAAATATATAAAAATGCAGATTTATTGGGAAGCTGTTCTCAGGTGGGAGAGTTCACTGGTCCCAAAGAAGAAGAAGGTTGGAGAAGATGCCATGGGAAGGGAGACAGAGGGGAGAGGGAAGAGAAAGGGAGAGTGTGTGGGCACACAGGGAGAAGGAAATGGGGGGGCAGGGAAGAAAGGGGAAACCAAAATGTCTGGATTACATAGCAAAGAGCCACTGGGGGAAGGGCAGGGTTAGGGGCAAGGTATGCCAGATAGGGACTGAGGGATGCTGGGAGAACCTGGAGACCAGGTCAGCTTTGGTATGTAAAATACGTACCTCAGCTGCTTGTTCCGGGGTCTGAAACCAAACAATAACCTATAAGTATACAACCAGTAGTCTAGTAAAAGTGTAAGTCTGTCTGTCAATCCTAGTGTGTGAAATAAGAATTAAAGGAGTAAATAGCAATTCTCAAAAAACAAACAAACAAACAAAAACCTTCAAGGCTGAAAATGATTTGAGACTACCAATTAAAAGTAAATATGTATGTACCACATGGCCTAAGTATTTTCATCTGGGAGTACTCTCTCTCTCTCCCCACTTAGAAATGAGAGCCCATTCTACCAACACACATGGAAGAGAATGAGAGAATATTTATTGACAAAAACTGGAAGTAAACCAAACTTTTATGTACTACAGAATAGACATGTTATTATACGGTTACTGGCAAGCTGACAGGTGTTTAACACCAGAGAGAAAAGCTCTAGTTCATAGCACCTGCCAATTTCCGTGGTGTAAATCCTCACTCCAGGGCCAGTTTCAAGCTCCTAATAGTCCATTAATTAGCTTACAGAACCCATGAACATTTAACAATCAGTTCTCAATCTGGGCAAGCTGGCTCCAGTACATTCCTGGGAATATTCCCAGGTTGTAGTACTATCCGGCAATGAAAGTGAATGAACGATCACTACAGGCAACAGCACGGATAAGTCTCATGGATGTTACCTTGAATAAAATAAACAAGTGGCAAAAGAACTCACAGAACAGGATTTCATCAGTCTGGAGTTCTAAATGGGCCAAATTAAACCAGAACCTTTCCGGTGCATCCTTACGTGTTGCAAAGGTAAAACACATTAGGGTAAGTTTACCCGAAATATGAGGCCAGTGGCTAACTCTAATGGGGAGAGGGGATTCCAAAATGGCAAAGGGTATCTCACTGCAGGTAATGTTCTATTTCTTAACCTTGGTGGTGCTCTGTGGTGTTCTATTATGTGTTATTGAATGTGTTCTTTTCGCAAGTGTTAAATCAGTGATGTGTTGCACTCTGTCAAAATGGGCTCATACCAAATCCCAAGAGCCACCTGTGCGCCTCTATTTCCACCTTTGCATCGGTGATGTTCTTAAATGCCTGACAGATGTGGAACATTATAGCACAGAAATTGAGAAGCACATACATACGAAAGAGGATTTTTTTTCTCCTAACAAATGAATTTATCAACCCACCACTGACAACACATTTGGAATATCCATATGATTCACAGCACTGGCATATTGGAGAAGATATTTTTTTTTTCAAGGATAAATGACCTCAAAAGTTTCCAGGCAAAACTAAATAAAACAAAGCGAAATGCCAACAACTAAACGTAAAGATTCCTTTAACAATAAAGAAGATGGGAAAGACAGCTGGTTGTAAGAAGTGTAAAGTGTTTGACATTCTCCACTAATATATAATAAAAATCAAATTGATGCTAAAATTAAGGACTCTAGGTAGCCATTCACATTTACAGAACTTGATGAACACTTTGCAGGAGACGAAGAGGGAGAAGACCAGAAGTCTTGTCTGCCATTCAACTTGACTATCTCTCATCAATTTCTGTTGGAACAGGACAGAGGAATGGAGGTGAGAGGTGACAGAGTCACGTGTCAAATCCTGGGAATTAGACTCCAAAGACCAGCATCAGAGTGGAGATCTGAGTTTATTGCACAGGGCATAAGCTTATAGAGTGTTATAAGCTAATCCCATGCTCCACCATGCCTCAATGAAAGCCCTGCATGGTGAGGTTATTCAGGAGTTGGGGGAGGGCAATATCACCTGTTAGGACTTCTATGAAGACCGGAAGCTGAAGACAGGAAACAGACACTGCCCTGGCTTCCGTTCCTTTTTGCTGTCTTGTGTTCTGGGAGCCATCTTACCTCTAATGCAGTGTATCAGGACTTGTTGAGGACTCCCAGGAGCCTGTGGCACCTTGCTCTCCATTACCACTTTTTTCTTCACAAGGGTGACCTCCACATCCCTCAGAAATTTCTTCCCAAATAGGTCCTGAATGGTAGGTCCTCCATGCCTCTGCATTGGACGTATGATGAACAACTAGCCTGAAGTAATTACCTGTCTGTCACAACCTGTTTCCCTGTGAAAAGAACACTGATATTTCAATCTGCATATTTATGTGGATTTATGTTCTTGAAACATGTGGCTGTAAGATATGGTTCACTTGTGTTCATTTCTGCTTTCCTGGTGGTAAGCAATTTTAAATGCTATGCTATATTAAAATAATAGTGGACTTATAGAAACTTTAACCAATTTCAGTTTCCATGCAAAATTTGAGCTTGTGGTTGACCTCTTCTGATAACTCTTCACTGGGATATGGAACCTGTTTTGCTACAAAAGTTTTGGCTCCTCTCTTGGGCACACAAAGGTAACTCAGAAAAGCAGCATGGAGCCCTGGCATCTCTGCCTTTGTGCCAATGTCTCCTTTGCAGTGGCTTAGATTCTAGGGTGAGTGCTTATGGGCATGCCATTGGACTCTAGATGTCAATCACCCATACTGACATAGAGATTAACGATAGGAGCAGTCATGGAAACCTTCCTGTCCTCAGCCCCCACAAACAATAAGGTCTTCTTCAGGGCCGTTTTGCATTAACAGAATGGAGCTAATAATAAATCAGATGAGGTTTTGAAGAAGACTGCTTAATCATGCATGCTTCTCACCCTGCACCCCAATTTTCCTCTGTGGAAACCTAAGGCTTATGTCAGAACCCTGAAGATGGACTAAAAGGCCTAGTTTCCATCCTCCTCAAATACTCATTTTGATTATAAAGCCTGTGGTGGCTTGAATAAGAATATCCCCTACCCCATCCCATAGGCTCATGGATTTGAAAGCTTAATCACCAGGGAGTGGAATGGTTTGAAGGGATTAGAAGGATTAGGAGGTGTGGCCTTGTTGGGGGAAGGGTGTCACTGAGGTGGGGGTGGGGTGGGGTGGGGGTGGGACCTTTGAGGTTTCAAAAGCCCAAGTCAGTCCAGGCTCTTTCTGCCTGTGGATCAGGATGTCGCTCTCAACAATGACTCAGGCACCATGTCTGCCTGTGTGCTGCCATGCTTCTCACTATGAGAATAATGGACTAAGCCTCTGACACTGTAAGCAAGCCCCAATTAAGTGTTTTCTCTTAAAAGAGTGCTGTACTTATGGTGTCTCTTCTTAGCAACAGAACAGTGACTAAGATAAAGCTCTTCCAGTGTTTTCATCATTGGTATTTTTGCTTTCTTTAGGCAGAATGACTGGCCCTGATGTGTTGAAACCCTTGAGTCAGACCTCCAGCCTTCTGGACTCCAGGCTAACAAAACCTTCAGACTCTTAAGCTCATAAAATAGCTTGGTTTCCACCCGGACAATTACTGTGGTGTCCCTTATTCATTTATAATCAACAAGAGGCTGGGG